TGTTCTTGCTCTAGAGGGCCTCCGCGCCCACGGCCCGTAGCACCGATTGGGGAGGCTGAGGACAAAGAGAACCAACAAGCGGCCAATGGTCCCAACCAGCCAGCTGCTCGCCGTGGCTACCGGCGTCCCTACAACTATCGGCGCCGCCCCCGCCCTCCGAACGCTCCTTCGCAAGATGGCAAAGAGGTGAAGCTCGCCAGTCAGAAGGGATGTGGCCAGATCAGCTTTAATTATATCAAACCTTAGCATAATTAAGAGGTTTTTTTAGTGTGTGTTACTGAGGATTAAACTCAGGGTCTTTGTACTAAGCTACATCCCTTGATCCTTTTTTTAGAATTTTCACATGGCCTCTCTCCAAGATCAAATTTATAATCCTCTTGCCTCAGCCTCTCAGAGGGCTGGGATTACATGCGTGTGCCCTTAACCGTAGCTTTAACATAGCAGCTTGCTTAAGGCTCACATACAGAATGAGAATGCCCGGAATATAACTCAGACTAAATATTTGAATTCAGCCTATTAATTTTCTCTGAAAGGATTGCTTAGGGTTCTAATCTAGGGCTTTTGGGACCGTCATAGAAACATGAGAGGGGAAGCTGCTGGTGCGCATGAGCTGAAAGCAAGGGCGCATCGCAGACTGTGGAGAGTCATGGTACTTAGTGGCCATTTGGAAGCCTCTCTGCTGTGGACTAATTTTTCTACTCACAGACATAAGAGTCACCAATGTTTTACATGGTGATTGTCCTTCATAGGCAGGAAAATTCACCTTTGAGAGCTGTTAGCCTTGGAGTCTCCATGGCCTTCTGGGTGGGTCCTCCTGGCTTACGATCTGGTTTCATGCTTTGTAGACCAAGGCAGGTGAAGCGTCAGCTGAGAACCCCGCTCCGGCCGCCGAGCAGAGCAGTGCTGAGTGACACCGGCTCCCCGGGCACCTTCACCACCAGCAGGGTAAGAGCCTGGCCGCCCGGTCTGGAGCTGCTCGCTTCCTCACGAGGCCCTGGTTGCTCACCAGCAGCATGTGTTTGTTTAAACTCCTGTGATTCATCTGTGCCACCCCCTGGTCTCCACTGGGATTCAAGGGAAAAACTCTTTGGGCGTTCAGTAGCCCTGGGACTGACCGTATTTGGAGAAATTTTGGAAACATGAGGACAGAGTTGATAACAATCAACTCTTGTGTGCTTTTCACTATTATTACCACTTTGGGAAACTGCTTTTGTGGCCCCTAGTGGCCAATTTGATAATTTTAGAGACCCTGACATGGGCTTGTTTTTGATGACAGAAGGCAATCATCTGTAAAGTAGATTGGATTTTCCTCCCTCTTTCCTTTGGTAACCATTATTTAAAGTTGGGAAGTTATTGTAAGTTTCTTCTTTCTAATGTCATCTGCTTTTACATGTGGTGCTGTGCTATTAAAATAGCTAGAATTATGTGTTAACGTGGTCAAGATGGGCTGTAACTCATGTCTCGCTTCTGGGCCATAATTTGTGTGTCTTAATGCCGTGTGGCTCTCACTTGAATTGAGTTGTTCCCACGGGCGTGAGCCACGGGCGGTATGAGCATGACTGTCCCATTGGGCGGCTGGTGCCACTTCTGGGGGAGTCTTTGACAGTAATGCAAAGGAGGGCGTTGATGGAGCGGACCACATGCCATCATATTACAGGAAAATGTTAAAGTGGCATTAAAAAAAAAAAAACCAGTACAACAGATTGTAACGCAGCTAATCTGTGGTAGAGTGGTTGTGAGTACATACTATGTACACCAGCAGTGGGGTACTCGTAAGGTTCCATGAGAAAATTTAGAGAATTAATTCCTGGTAAGCTATTACTCCGTGATGAAATGCCACAGGCACAGATTATTTAAACAAACTTCATGATTATTGTAATCATTTTTGATTAGTATAAATAATACTAATATTTACATTTGGAAGTAATTATTCAAATTCAAACAACTAACTAGACTCAGTCCATTCATAGACTTTTAATTTATTTTATTTTATTTTTTTTTGAGATAGGTGTTGCTTGGGCCAGGGATATAGCTCAGTGGCATAAGCGCCTGCCTGGCACGTGCAAGGTCCTGAGTTCGATTCCCAGTACCAAAAAAAAAAAAAAAAAAGACAGATCGAGTGTTGCTTTATGGTACAGGCTAGCCTTAAACTGACTATAGTCTAAGCTGGCAGTCCTGCCTCAGCCTCCTTAGTGCTGGGATTACAGGCATGTGCTGCCATGCCCAGCTTAATTAATTCTATTAGTACAAAGACTGATAAAAGTGACTAATTAGATCAGTTTGTATATGATAAGGACAGCCATGCAGGCACCATCAGCGTTTCAAGCTGGCAGAAACTTGTTAACCATTTAAAAATGGCTGTAGCCTTTTACTGTGAGTGGTGTTACTTTGGTATAGTCCCCCACTCACCCCTGAAAAAAAGAAAAAAATCTTTTTACTGTTTAGAGTTTGTCTAACATTGGGAAGAAGCTAACTAATGATAATATCTGTCTTAGTTACTTTTCTGTTGTTGTTGAGACAAAATACCTCATGCCCAAAATTAAGGAAGGAAAGGTTTATTTAGCTCACAGTTTGTGGACGTCTCAGTCTATAATCAGCTGGCTCCAAGTCAGGGTAGCATGGCATAGGGGCAACACTTCAAGACAGCGGAAGACAGCAAAAGCAACAAGAGCAAAAAATGGGTGGGGAGAACAAGCCTCTTTTCCTCCCTTACATTGCATGCTGGCTATCCGCCCACAAGGTCTCAGTGCCCCTCTTGCACAGGCTCAGGATGAATACAAAGTAAGGACCCTGGCTTCCTGCTGGGTCACATAGTTAACCTTCTCAACTTCTCAAATTGACACAGTGAACAATGTACCAGAGGTAAGGGCACCCCAATATGCACAACTGCTTGGTCACTTAGCTAAGCTTCTGGACTCAAGTTGACACAATGGATCAACCATAACAATAGCAATATGAGGCATGGGACAGTTAACTGAATATTTGGTGAAGAGTTAGCTTTGGTATAGTTTTACTTGGTCAGAATCTCATGATTTTCTTTCATACAGTTTTCAAAATCTTCCCTAGTATGTACTAATCTGAGTTGTTAAAGTACTTTAAGCATCAAGTTAACATCTTGTTTGCAGATCTTTACACAGGAATAGACCTCATTTAGAGCTTTTGAAGTACTGTTTTGTTTTGGGTATTTTTGTTTGTTTGATTTTGAGAGAAATCCGCTATGCAGTTCAGGCTGACCTTGAACTCACCATGTAGCTGAATCGAACTCACAGCGATCCTCCTGCCTCAGCCTCCTGAGTGCTAGGCTTACAGGCATAAGGACACCATATCCGGTCAAAGTACTGGTTTTGAATTATATGAAAAATAATTTCTGTTTCTCATTTTGACACTCTTGGTAAGTTTGATTTTTATTTTTTGCAGGTGACCTAAAGAATTAATGACCATTCAAAAATAAAGCAAAAAGTACACCCACAACCTTACCAACACCAAAGAAACATCTAAGCAATAAAGTGGAAGACTAAATAAGATTTGGACATTAGAATGTTTACCACTATTCTTTGAGAAACTAACAACTGCAAGAGGAAGATGTCAGCAAATATTTCCAGCCAGCTGTGAGCCCAGGAATGCCTGCACAGGACAGGAGAGTGTCCTCCCCAGTTTCAGCTATCACTAGGTTTATATTTTTTTCCTGGTTTTTACTGTTTTGGTATTTGAAAGAAGAAATATTAATACTATATGGGGAGAACCCCAACCAAAGAAATCTAAAATTGTTGTATAGTAAATGCTGTTTTTCTTTTTTTGTTCATTTTGGATGCTGGTGCTAAACTTCTAAGTGTCATGATTTAAAAAAAAAAAAAAAGTTTGCCCTTATTTATTTTTAGGATGGGGGGAGGACGACATTTTTGCTTTCTTTTGTGACTCTCTTTGGAAATGTGCGGTAAAAAAATTTCTCCAAAATAAAATTTTTACCCTTCAAAGGAAAACGTGTCCCTGGAATATATTGTCTTGCATTAACATATGTAGGTATAGTTAGTGTTTAACATGTGAATTAGTACTTTTTAAAAGTAAATGTAGTCATACGAGTTTGAGACCATAGAAAGTCAGATTCATTTTGAAATGCACAGCTGGGAATTACTGAGTTCATGTCTGGGTTGAGCGGTAGGCATGGATTGTTCAGTGTACTGCATCTGTTTTCAGGTTAACAGCTTCAGTTTGCCTATTAATTTTCTTGAGATTCTTGGAGGAGTTAGTAGCTTTTTACGTTGTGAACTTCCAGCCTAGAGTTTGGAATGTCATTCTGTGTGCTGTACGTGTACACCATTGTCGCTGGGAATCAGTCTCAGGACCATCTTCTTGGGGACAGTCAATCTCTTCTGTAAATTGGTGTCGGTACTGCATGGACTGTATGCACACCCTTCATAGACCTGAAGTCACCTCTAGATTGCATGTCACCCAATTGTGAACGTTAAGTAGATAGTGGCTGCACTGTACTGGTGAAGTGATACTGCAAAACAATTGAACGTTTATTCCTATGTTCCTTTGCTGTTCGTATTTCTTCATCTGAGAAGTGTGTATTCATCTCAGATGACCATTTTTCGATTGGGTTTTTAAATTTGGGGGATCTGTTTTTTTTTTTTTTGAGTTCTTTATTCTGAATATTAGTCCTTTGTCTGAGGAACAGCTTTCAAAAATTTTTTTTTGGGTTGTCTCTTCATTCTTGGTTGTTTATTTTGCTATGAGAAAGCTTTTTAATGAGATGAGATATCAATTGTTGATTCTTTGTGATAGTTCTTTTGCGATCGGGGTTTTTTTGTTCATAAAGTCTTTAGCTACACCAGTATTGGTCTCCAAGAGTGGTACCTATTCTCTCCTCCAGCAGATTTAGTGTTTCTGTTTTAATATTTAGATCTTTGATCCATTTCAGTTTTAGCTGAGGGTGTGATAAAAGGTACGGGTCTAGTTTTAATCTTCTGCATGTAGGAAGCCAGTTTTTCCTGCGCCATCATTAGACAAGCTTTCTTCAGCGAACATGTTTAGTTTCTGTGTCAAATGTAAGGTGACTGAGTGTGTTTGGAGTTGTTTCTGAATCTTCTAATGTGTTCCATTGATCCTTAGGTCTGTTTTTTTGCCAGGACCATGGTTTTCTTGTTTGTTGGTTTGTTTTATATCACCATAGCTTTGTAGTATAATTTCAAATCATGGATGATGATACCTCTTGCCTTGCCTTAGTTTTCAGAATTGTTTTGCTATTCTAGGTCTCTTCTGGTTCCAAATGAATTTTGGGGAGGTTTTCTGCAATTTTGTGAGGTATACTGTTGGTATTTTTTGATCAGGGTTGCATTTAATTTGTGTAACAATTTTGGAAGTATGTCAGCATTAGGTTGTTTATGTGCATTTGCTCTATTTTCTGATATAATTCACCGCTGTAAATTTCCCTTGTAGGACTGCTTTCATTGAATCCTATAAGTTCTGGTACATTTTATTTGCCTTATTGTTTAACTGTAGAAATTTCTTCTTTATTTCATCTGTGACCCATTGGTTGTTCAGGAGGGTGTTATTTAATTTTCATGTGTTTATGAAGTTATTGTGGTTTCTTTGGCCATTGATTTCCAGTTTCATTGCACTATGGTCTAATAATATGCATGGGATAATTTCAGTTCCTTTGCATTTACTTAAGTATGTTCGATGAGCTAGTCTGTTGTCTGTATTGGAGACTGTCCCATGTGCAGCTAAGAATGTGTATTCTGATATGGGGGTGGAACACTGTAGACACCTACTAAGTCCATTTGTTCAAAAGCTTAGTTTACTTCTGCTGTTTCTTTGTTTTTCTCTCTAGCTGATCTGTTTGTGACAGTGGGTTATTCAGGTGTTTCCCCATTACAGTTGTGTTAGTGCTTACTGATTTCTCATGGTCCCTTGGTTTTTGGAAGTCTTTCTTTTCAGATCGCTAATCACAATCTTCTAGATCTGGTATTGTGTCCTTAGATTGAAACATTCTGCTGTGTATACTTACAGTGGAATTTTTAATCTCCTGGGTATCTGTTTGAATCTGTTCCATGGATTCCATTTCTTTCCTGTGTTGAACATTTATGGTTCCCATCATTTTCCTAAGCTCTTCTAGATCCTCTCTGTACCTGCTCTAGATTCACTAATCATGTCCTTCATTATGGTCACCATCTCTGTTGTTGTCTGAGGTATTATTTCTGGTTTGATTTTCTTCTAGAGCCTGATTCATTGCTCTTACTTCTGCTGTTACCACTTCAGAGAGTCCAGGTGGGTGGCTTTCAAATTGTTCCACCTCATTGCCCCCTGCATTTGCCGTTGGTGAGCTGGAAGTCTGCATCTTGTTGTCTTGTTGCCCTGTCTTCTCATTTTATATTATAAACTATATATCTATATCTATCTTATCTGTCTATCTATATATGTACTATCTATCTATATATTTAGTTTAATTTCTGTGTTGATGCTTGTAAATTGTTTATTAGAGGTAGCTTTATTGCTAGTCTTTAGAACCCTTAGGTAATGACTCCTTCTTGGAGATGTCTTCCAAGCGTAGCTGGCTTTGGGGTTTTGAGTCTATTGTAAGATCCTACCCCTTCCATTTACTGGGGAGGAGAAGTTGCTGCCTGTTTGGCCTAGCCCCTGTTTCTTTGGCACTGGCCGGTAATATTGCTTTTGACTCTCCAGCAATCTCAGTCTTAGCATACAAGGAAGAACAACTGATTGCACCACTTTAGCCAAGGTGAAATGGTGAAATAATTGTTCCAATCAGTAATGAAAGTAATTTTACCCTTGGGTTAAAATTTAAAGCAGGTTATGGGAAAAATAGAGAAATAGAAGAGGAAGAGATTAGAAGCAAGGCTGGAAGACGAAGGCTATGCACACTTTGCAACCCTGGCAAAGGAGACAGGAAGGAGAGAATGAAGAAACGAACAGAACAAGACAAGGTAGAACCATGCTCACACTCACGTAAAAACAAGAAAAAGAAGAAAAGCTGAGAACGGAACAAAAGAAAATAAGTGTCTACTTCAGAGTGTCTCTTCTGTCACCTGTAGTCAGAGGAGGCAGACAGAGCTTGGATCCCCTGTTGATTGAAGCCAGCAGTGGAATTGCGGTGGGTGGTGGGTAATCCCAGCAAGCCTGCACCTTTAGTTCCACTGAGGCATCTGGACTGTTGTAGGCTGAACTCTTGGCCAAGGCTCGGAGCCAGAAACCAGAAGCGGCCTGAAGTAGAGACAGTATTTAACGGTGAGGGTACTCATAGAGAAATGTCCTCAACTGAAATATTGAAAAATCCACAATATCTTTAGACAACACAGTTATGATCAGGTGTATATTAGAATGTTATATAATCAGTGCAAATGATGAATATTATACAAATACCATTATAAAAGAATAGGTAGACTTAAAAAATGTGTCAAGCAATGCAGTAGACTAAGAATTTTTTTACAAGTGTTTGAAATCTCCAGACTAAAAGTGCTTCCAAATGAACAGGGACAGGGAAAGGGGTATTTTCATAGCATAGATGCATACATTGCCATTGCAGGGGCGCTGCATATGTGCATATGTGTAAGATGGCTGAGGTAAGACCTGTTCTATGAAAGTTTTCTAAAGGCAAGTTCAATCAAATTTGGTATTGAACATCTAACTAAAAAGAACTCCACGTGTGTGTGACTACATTCAAAGCATATACTCTGAAAGGTCAAAGAAGAAACTAAACATCAAACATGGTTCAGAAAATGTTTATTAGTGTAACAAATTTTGCACTAAGATTTTAATAATCAGTAATATGATTTGAAATGTTTTATTATTCTCAAAAAGTATTGTCAATAGTTTGGGATATGCGATTTAAAAATTTTTTGTTGTGTTTAATTTGATTTTTTTCTTTTGTACTGAGCTACATCCCTACCACTTCTATTTCATATGTTGAGACAGGATCTCATTAAGTTGATCAGTTGCATAGGCTGGGCCCAAATTTTGATCCTCCTGCCTGTACCTTCTGAGTAGCTGGGATTACAGGTGGAAGCACCACTCTGGACTTGTTATGTCAACTAGTTAGGTATTGTTACATAATTACTTTCAAAGTAAATGGGACATGTTCATTATAAAGTTAATTTTTAAAGAGCTCAGACAGTTCTTTTATGCTAAGTATAGAAATAAAGCATTCATAGGTGGCAAGTTGATTATTTTAGTAACAAGACACAAGATAACAAATAATACTGTTTCCAAAGCCAATAGCAAATTTTTTTTCAAAACTTTTTTTTTGCTTATTGTAAAAAATGAGTTCACCTCAGTTATTCATTTTTTTCCCAAAACTTTTGGCTAGGTAGCATATTCCTGCCAGTACTTTCCACAGAAGCAGCAAAGTAGGAGTGTTGCCTTTCTAAGAAAAGAAAATGGGTAATATTTTAAATATGAAACTGAATATTTTGACAGATGATCGTACTAAGCCTCTCTATAGGACAAGCTTTTTTTTTTTTTTTTTTTAAACTCAAAAAGAGTCTCACCGCCGACTAGCCGTGAACTCACTATTTAGCCCAGGCTTGCCTTAATCTCAGTCTGTAGCTTCAGCTGGCCTTGATCTCACAGCAGTCCTCCTGCCTCAGCCTCCCAAGTCCTGGGATTTCAAGCTTGCACCAGTACCTGGTGACAAACTTTTTTAAGTTATCACTCCCCCTCTCATTTCAAAATATTGAGATTAGATGATTAGTTTTGCCTTGCAAATTATCAACTCCTTCATTTCATGTAATTTTCATTATTTCCTCAGAATACCTCACCTTCCATATGAGACACAACCCTTTGGTCTACGTGAATGTGCCATTGTCACTGTCTGTTGTAAAGCTAGTGAATTGTAATGAATTTTAATGGAGACTTTCATATACTGTTCCCCCACCTCAGTGGTGCTGGAGATCGCAACCAGGCCGTGCACATGCTAGGCCAGCATCCTGCCCCGACTCCCTAGTATAGTTCACCATTAAAATGT